TAGACCCGCAGCACTACAAAGTACGCATCTGACACTGCCTATAAGAAATACTTGAGTAGTAGTCAAATATATTCCCACCCTTTGCAAGTAATGTGAGTAGTTTTGCCCCAGCTCATCAGCACTCCATGAGATATTGTATTCTGCATTGTATGTCATAAATTCTAATTCAACCAGCTTCATGTTTTATTCCTTTTTCTCATTTCCCCTTGTTTTGCTAAGCACAACTACATCTGTGTATTAGAATGCATAAAACTCTGTTCAGCATATTAGGTAATGAGAACTATTTTTTTCCGTTTCTGAGACCCGCCTCTACCGACCCACGTCGAGCAGTGCATAACTGGCAGCGGGTTCTCAGTGAGTTTTTTTTCGAATATCACATACTACTTAAAGTAAATTTCAGTACCATGTATATTCGCACAACGATGTTCTGAGTGCTCCTTCACTGCACTTTTGGTTGAAAACCATTAAATTGAGGGCCTTCCCTGAACCCAGAGTTAATACTGGCTTACTGAGCAAATTTGTGTTCTTGTATTGCCTAATTTGATCTGAACAAATTTTAACATCAACCGTACCCTTAAATTATGCGCTTCAAATTGTGCTTTACATCATTTATATCTTCTTTATGAAGTGTATCCACAATTTGTGCTTTAATTTGCCCGCGACTTCAATTTTACGTAGACGAAGTGTCCTCATGATGGCATGAGAAAGCTGCTTGAGAACCAGGCCTAAATACAACAAGACGATGAGCCTGGGAAAAATGAGGCGTAAGAAAAAACCTAGCCTTTTGGATTGAAGACATTAAAGCAGCACATTTAGAAAAAGAATAAGGCCTCTCTAGGAAATGCTTTTTGCGTGCAAACTTTGTGCCGTATCGCAGCTGGTATAGAACACAGTTACGGACTTATCGTGTGGGCGACCCCTTCTCGGGGGTCCTTCTCCAACTGCATTTGGACACAAACTCCCTTCCCTAATCTCTGTCTAGACTTGAGAGGAAAGCTTTTCAGTCTCAAATCTTCCACCATCCACGTCATCACCGTTGCGCAGCACATTTCATCATGAATGAACCAAATTTGACCGGCGAATAGAGTGTGCGGCAGTCACAAATAGACGAATATAAAAAATAATTTCAGAAAATAAGGCCACTACTCGCCAATCAGAGTCACCCACAGACATCGCTGTCGTCATATCATGCATCCGTTGTGAGGAAGTACCGGAAAAATCCCGCTTTTACTCTCTGAAAAGAAAAGACGCTGAAGGGGCCATGCCCAGGTACACAAACACCCGCGCTAAAATTTATTCATTTATTCCTTTCTCCAGAACGCGCCCTTAGGCCATACCAACCGCGATCGCCCGCTTGAGTCCGAAAGCCCTCTTTAAATTGCAATCCATTCTATGAGAGGACTGTCGTCCAAGTTCCAGATCACCCATATAGGTAGCTGTTTTTAAGCCCCCACCTTGTCTTCATCAGACAAAGACACACAAATTGAACGGAAAAATCAACTGAGTTATATCATTGCTCGTAACTACTCATGACTAGGACACCCGCCATTTAGATTCTCCTTTGCAGGCTGACCTCTAACGTGTATGATCCTCTAGCCCACACATCCCTGGTGGCTTACCTTACCAAAACCTAAACAAGTATTAAAAGATCTACCGCTCGTCAGTGCTGCAGCCTCATAACTCAGCCGCACAAAAGCTCACTTTACTTCAGCGCTCAAACACAGTGAGTTCCTCAACAAAGCACACCTCTAAAGAGATTGCATAGTTGTAACACTATTCATAAGGTTGCTTAAAACTCTTCGACAGCCCTTCTTGAGGCTTCAGATAGGCGCAAAAGAAAATCATAAAGGAGAGCTTCGGCGGGTTTCCGTGAAGACCAAAATGGTATGTAAATGAGTGTATCTCGTTAGAGAAGGGACTGCTTTCCTGCAAGACAATGTAGCTAGAGCATAGGCCTTAGATGAAAACTGTTTTGGTTGGTAATTTGGATTAAAGCAGCTGTTTTATCTCTAACGTAATTCAGCATCAATTTTTTTCGAGTATTCTACCCCCATTTTCAGTTGAAAGTTCCTCTCTGGACCTCCAGAATGATAAACTGCCCCTATATGACCGCTCACCGTAATGCACGTGGATTGTGCAGTTTGTGTTGGGTCTTTGCAGTAAACTGGGCAGCATGTATGACAAAGTGCAAAACATTGAGACCGAAGTTGCTCGTTCGGAAACGTCATCATCCAGGCGGAGAAAATCAAGGTGAGCATTTTATGTGAATGCCATCATACACTCTGAACTATTTGGGTCGTTCGTGCGAGACATCGACCGGGCTTTGGCCGTCAAAACTTAAGAGCTTACCTACTCGTAAGTAGTATAGTTAATCAGCAACTTTACTCAGGCCTCATGTGGATGGCGAGACCACTGGCTAGCTCGAATGAAGAGTGACAACAGAAATCCGCGGCAGCTCACTTTGGATATTCTCACATTTCGTCCAGCCTATCTTACGGCCACCCGCCCTAGGAAACAGCTGGCACCACATACCCTTGGAATAAGGCACTCTGGCCTTCGACCAGCAGGGTCCGATCAGGAAGAAATGGGGCTTGAGCAGTTCCAGCATAGGAGGTACCAACTTTTGAGATCAGTTGATGTATCGACCTCTCTTCCAAACTCATCGATTATTCAGACCGGCCAATTCTTGGACTGCTTCATTCTCATCCGTCCACCTATGCCAATTGGAACAGCTGATTGACGCACAGTCACATGGTTGTCTTAGAGTAAAGGTCTCGAGGAAAAGGATCGTTGGATCGAGGGATTACTGGTTGTGAATCTGGCGCAAAGTTTTAGGCGATACTGTTGTGGTCCATTTTTAATCTGGCACGCGAATTCCAATCAAAGTGGCAGACTGACTGACAAATCAAATTTGAAAACTTGTTCTGAACCAAAGATTCAGTGAGGGCTGAGGAATTTTAGGATTGGAAGTTAATTTATCTCTTCTCGAGTTTTTTCGCCTTGGCAACAGGCCAAAGTAATCATATGAAGCTAGGCCTCTCCTAGAGTCTCTGCTGATGGGGCCAACTTGTAAAGACATTCAAAGTCTTGTCGTTATACTACCTGAAGTAAGCTGTGTGACGCTAATTGCGACCATCAAACTTGGGTTTCTTGGTTCTCTGTGGTCTTCAGAATGGTATTTTCCAAATTTTCACTCACTTTTGTCATCAATAACTTCTAATGCATGCGCCATTCTAACTACAATAGGCCATATCCGGTGCGGTGTGGATAAAACCACGCTGGATATCCTACGTTTATCCCCAATCTCCTTTAACCTCATTGCGTATGTAAATTGATTGCGTGACACGCTTTCAACCGAGCGATCACAACACAAACCTTTCGCCCACACTCGTTTTTTAACTAGGTCACACGAGGCCAAAAAATATGGCTCTTTGAAGGCCATTTTGAAGAGAGAAAATGTGTACTTGAGCACACGCAGTACCAATTGAAAGTGATATCTATTGACCAGGCTGGTAAAAAATGCGCATAAACCGTCGATCATTCGTACGCACATGAAAGTAGGTTGCGCGACTCCAAGAGCACTGACCACAACTACCACGAAAAAGTCGTAGGGCTACCCATGTCTTTCACAAAACCTCCACTGCGGGGTATGGAATGGGATTATTCTTGAATACAAGTGCAAGTCTAGCACCCCGATCAGCTGGACTGGAAAAAAAACAGAAAACAGGAGAAACGAAACCCTAGAATCCCGAAGAAAATACTGTCTCATTTAAAAATTAATCTGGTGGGGGCAAGAATCTGCATGGAAAGGAAAATAGCCAGGGGTAAAAACTTAGTGCTCTGTGTGCCTTTATGCTCCGTTGGTTGCGGCCTGGACGATTCACTCTTTATAGGACGGGAAATCCCCCAGCTACCAGTCCATCCCAAGCAGGTACGAGGTCACGTCCCGGTCAGGCCACCTACCTAAATTTTATGTGTCACTGCGTCCCAGGCTTGTGTTGGGTGGGGTTCGCAAAAGATGTTGAACGGATACTGTTAAGGGCCTTCTACTCCGATAAAATGCTCAGATGTTTTTTTCACTTCTGCTAGGGGTTGTAGATATCTTGCTCTAAAGACGGACATATTAGAGCCACGCCCGATGTTCCCCATCTGCTCCGCTATTTACAAAAGCTTTCTTTCCCTTCAGCGTCCTTCAGCGCGGCCGTTGAGCACCACTGCTATTAGAAGTGTAACAGGTGTCATCAACCACCGATAGCAGCTGCTCAAACTGCTCGATGAGGTGGCGCATGCCCCGTCGGGGCCGCATCAAAGAATGGATATCACGAGGAACTGTCTGATACCGAGGCTGAAATATTCTCTCGTGCCTGGCCAAGTTCACAGGAATACGCTAAAAAGATTGGACAACTACATCAGGCAATATATTCGTGGCTGGCTACGTCCACCGAAGGACACCCCGATCAGCTACATCCACGTCGGTAAAAACATGGGAGACTTGGTATCCCAAGTCTGAGTGCAACAATCCCGATGCAGCTGAGAACGCGTATAGAAAAGCTCCTTTCTACTCAATGCCGAGTACTACGCAATGTGGTCAACGATTCCGCATTTGGCAAAATTCGAATCGATGGCTCGTATTCCCAGAACGAGTGTTTCCGCGGATATTTATCCGCGGTATCCAGCTCCGATGCAACCTGCTTAGGACGAGAGTTAGAAGCGCTCGGCATGGTCATGGTGGCCAGACGATCTTATGTCGTAGAAACTGTGGCCAACCGGAGAGTTTGGTGCATATTTTGCAATGCTGCTGTATCACGCATGATGCCAGATGTGCTCGTCATAATCGGGTAGCAAGGGAACTCGCAAAACGTCTCCGTCAACTGGGGTACACCGTCTTCGAGGAGTTGAGAGCCCCTACTTCGACGTTCTTCATTAAACCTGACCTAATCGCTGTTTGAGATCGCCGTGCAACTGTAATAGACGTCAGCATATTCTCGGATGGGCGTGGAATGACAGTGTGGAATGAGAAGAAGCAGAAGTATGGTGCTGATGAATATTCCCTCTCCGTAATCTCAGCCCTACGTGTAATTGGTTGTGCTATCTACCTTTTGGTCCACCAACCGATGATCATCTCTACTCGAGGAATCTGGTCTCCTCAGTCCGCCAGGGCTGTTATTGGACTGGGACTTCCCAAGGTCGCAGTCAGTGACTTGTGTTTGCTTGCCATTATGGGCTCTCTGAGTACTTGCAACACTTTTATGTGTGGCATATGGCGTCGAGTGCACATTTTAGCCATTTAATCTCACACCAGACTCAGTTTGACGGACACTATGTGCCTGATATGCAAGTCTTGACTGTGCTATTGCCTACCGCGCCTTGAAGAACATTCAACACTGTTTGCCCTTTCCTCGGCTGTTGGTCTTCACATGCGTGTTTCCATACCAAACATTCTTACATACGTCGGGATTCATCTTGTCTAACAGTAACTGTTGGTGGCATGACTTCGAATGAGACGCTTCTCTCTTTCCATCTAATATTCTCCTGTTAATCTTCCATACCCATCACCTGTATTTACTTTTTATGTCTGCGACCATGCTCTTCAAAAATAATCGATAGTGTTGTAGTCACTACCAGTGTATCACTGTAGATAGCGATGATGATGATGCTTCGGATGATGATGATGATGATGATGATGATGATGATGATAATGATGAGGATGATGATGATGATAATGATGATGATGATGATGATGATGATGATGATGATGAAGGTGATGAATCGAATCAAACACTTTTTCTCCTGGCACTAGGTAGTTGTGAGCTGCAATCATAAAACTTCCTTAAGACGAGATCATTGTTCTGAAAATATCACATGTGATTACCCTGGACTTAGGGTGAGATTCCTCTGAAAAGTATGTTGATTCCAGTCTTTTGTTGGATAACCAGTATGTCCCAGTAATCTGACCAGTAAACCTGACCATATACTCACCAATTTCCTGAAATTAGGATTTCCCTTTAAGAAGGATGAAAAACCGCACAATGATCCCACTAAGGAGAGGACACTGCCGGGAAAAGTCCATCTTGATTTCCACTTAAAGCCCCCCCCCCCCTTTGGATGGAAGGTCAGACTGATTCATGTCTCAACAAGAACTCCCCACAAATATTCCTTCTTCAATACGCCACCAAAACTCACATTTTCTGTTGGATCATTTTTATGGGAGAGACCCTTCAGACGAAAGCTGAAAAGGTTGGAGAGGTTAAAACGGTCTTCTCCATCAAGCGGTGTAAAACGTCCCCCTGAGGAAGTCCACTAGACGCTGAAAGACCTCATGACCCTTTCTTTAATGGAATTACTCTAGGCCATTTTTCACTAAAGCCTAAAAGAATTATTTTTAAAAGCGCATAGTACCACATGACAGCTTTAGTCCTGGCAATACGTAATAAATATCCAGCTTTGTTAGCTGTGCTCACTGATATAACATCAGAATATTAAACACTCAATGTTGCTGGCTCTCCAAACACACGATACTCGCAACCGTCACGTTATTGGTTCATTAAAATCCTTTTTCTGCAACATAGAAAGCTTCATTTGTGTGTTCACCTTTCATGCACGAAGGTACACCTGTTTGCACACAATCATCAGGAGAATGATCAAGCGAGCAGCGTTTGCGCACATCAAACTGGCTCTATTCACAATCATCATCTGGCTCTGGTCCTCATGGTTGTAAACCATGTGCATCTCATTATAGTTTCACTTGATACGTTCATTAAGAACAGAAGCGTTCGAGGCCATGGAATCGGTGAGTTTAGGCTACCGTTACTGCTATCTGGAAACTGGCTTTTGGCGACCTGATTAGGACGACACAATGAGGCAAGACCACTAGCTGGATGACAGTAAAAACGAACTCGTATGAATGAGTGAACTAACACAACATTTAAGCGCGCACCCGAACCACGGAAACTGATTTATGCAAAGCGACTGGATCGCGGTGAATTCAGTATGGCGCTTCATTTCAGCCATAACGACTCAGGTCGAAACCCACGTTCGGATCTAACTCAGACCAATCTTGGCCCTCAGTGTGTGTGTGTGTGTGTGCGTACAACACCAAATACTTTCCAGTCAATAGCCGTAATAAATGACATACTATCGCCAGCTAAGATAATATAGGGCGGCTATAGCGGAAACACATTGACAGACGCCGGTGTGCAAAAGTTTTTCGAACTCGAACAGGTGGGATGGCCGCCTAGACCAGTTCGCAACGGTGAATAGGTGACCATCCATCACCGATTGTCTACCTGTTCAGTTATCGGTAACCAAGACTCTCGTCAACAAAACTCGATGCTTTGAATGGACTGGCTCAGCATTTGGCTACTTAAGTGGCGGACGGATCGCTTGAGTTTGTGTCTGAGCACGTGATGAGTACAGGTCTATTGTAAACAGCCCCTGACCAACTGTGAGCATGAATAATTACTTTGTGTTTTTGCACAGTGGTACCGAATGCTTCCACGGCTGCGCTCAAGTATACCTCATTGTTCGGGGGGTTTGTGCGCAGCATGTGAGCTGCTCCCATAATTCACGCTTATCTTAGACCGGAAAAAACGGAAACTGAGCAGCACAGGCCGTGAAGAGAATGTCATTCGTTTTTTGTCACTTTCACACAGTTACGCTTCACACGGTGGTGTTTTTGAAGTCACTGCGTTGAGCGACTCGAATTCAGCTGCATTCTCGACACCTCCCCCCATATGTATCTTAGAGAAAAACAAGTATTCGCTATCGTAGGATGATAAACTACCTATGTCAGTTCGAGCCAAACTGTATCACAAAGAAACAGAGCCCATTGTTTATCCAAAAACACAGCAAAAATACAGCAAAGAATTGACAACCTCGAATGCACTGTTTTTGGCGGAACGCTTATTCAAAATATCAGTTGAATATATGTTTGTATCCAGTATAGCTTGTGTCTACTATCATCGATATTTCTGGTGCCCAGCTGGATCTAGCCAACTAAACTTCAAACAAAAGGCGGACTTGTTTTTGAGGATATTACCAAATGGTTGATTCGTGGGTAACCGTGCGCCTATGTCAGAGTTATACACGAAAATCCTCTTTACCCCTTAAGTGCGTTTAGTCAAACGGAGTCAGATTACGTATTGGTGACTTGGGTACGCGTCTCCGGTATCCTGATCGATGAGAATTCGGCAACTCTACGGCCTTTTCTAAACAAATAATTCATGTCAAATATGGATATACTTCAGTTCACATATACCCTACCCAACATTATAACTCGTTAAACCTGGTAATCAGTATGGGTAAGAAACTATTCTTTTGTAAGCAACATACTTCCTTGATTCATATCCAAACGCTACGGAGAACAGATACTTCCTACGTAATTATATACTTGGTCAACATATGTAAGCCGATTAGAACGCCGGAACTAAAAATTGTAGTCGAGGGCAAAGCGAAAGGGATGCAACGAGCTTGTTGGGTTCTGTTTTGGTTCACCAATCCAGTGTGACTTGTCCCTGGGAGGTTCATGGTGCAAACCCGAAGGCATTACAGTCTCTTGTTTGCAAACTTGGAACCTCAGTATTTGGGCTAACGTGTTCAGGATTGTGTCGTTCGAATGAAATCCGAACAGGAGGTAAAGTGTAACTCGGTTACGGTGCATACGGCATCATGCACTCCGTCTATGGACCAGAAAGTCGACAGTGAACCGAATGTTTGGGTCTGCTGGGCAGGCACTGCCCTTAGTCGCTTACATAAATACGCTTGAAGCAACACGAGTTTTTACGTGTCTACTTAGGGTGAACTGGGATGAACGTTTTACTGTGTTCACTACCAATGGTACGTTGTTCCGTGTGCTTGTGCAAGGCCTTTCTGAAAAGATAGTCAGATCGATCTCGAATTCGCGAGTGAGCCTCCCACAACACCATCGAGTGGCTGCCTAGGTTACGTACTCCTAAACTACCCCTCTATGGTCAGTGGAAAATTGAAGCCCAAACTCAATTATAGTCAAGAGTTTGTTAATCCGACAGTCTTCACGTAATTGGAATAAACTATTATCTTGATTTCAGCTCTCAGAAATTGACGGTTGTCATGACAGCCTGAAGAAGTCCTCGAAAGGTTTCGAAAAGTAGTGTATCTCATTACTCAAAAGCAAGCGGATCACTCCAAAACAACCGCACCATGTCGAGTGAAGCCACCGCCACAATTACTTGTGTGGCTCGTGGAGGTGAGATGGGATTTTCTCTAAAGCACCACAGAAATACGAGTACGTTGTGTCTGATAGACTTGATCTCAGTCCCACACAGTACCTGCCTCATCTCGCTGTTACACTATAGGTGTCCATCCACCATCATCGAAAGCATGAACTCCGTGTTCAACACCGATGCTTCGCCAGCCGATCACCGATTAACCGCCCGGTTATTCGCTCCCATATAAACTGTACAGTAAGAGGCATCTTCCGATAGATATTGCCGTAACAAGTTACTTCTTGGGATGCATGACACTTCGGTGATGCCACCACTACTTGAGGTTGGGTTCTGGATGTCATTAGGGCTCTTCGTTCCTCCCCACCGATCTCAGACCATCGGATTCAGATCAGTATCCGTAACTTGCACACAACATCACATTATGGAACCAGGGGTGCATAAAGAAGAGGAACTGAAAGGATGTTTCACAAAGTGCATGAAAGATCTATTAGTGACTGGTTTAAAACATCAGATGCGCGAGTTCATGGTTTGAGGAAACGTGAAAGGAAATGTGTCGAGTCGACAAGATACCAGCGAAGTTGTACTTTTGAATTATCTATACGGGTCGTAGGAACACATATCGCCCCAAACCTATAATAAACGCGACAATAATTATCAAAGCAAAGTCAACTGTTGACTGTGGCGAATTCATACAGCCATTTCAGTCTGTATTGCTCCTGTGGATAAGTACGGTGCGTAGGCCACTTTGTGCTCTAGGTGGATCGCTACATGGGTCTCAGGCACATCCAAGCAAGCGATATACTTGTTACATGGCCACTCAGTTCGGCTTTAGGCTAGCTCATTCAAGCAAGCCATTTGTCAGTAAGAGCTTAATAACTTGCTCCAGCTGGCAGAACAGTGTTAGATGACCAGTTTCATGTGATAGCACACGACAGTCTGCTCAAGAGGTTTGCAACTCGTCAGCCAAGCAAAGTAAATTATTCGGGAATTTTACACAGAACCTGTGGAGGAAGGTCAACCAAACCGACGGCTGCTCTTACTGTTCTTTCAGCAAATTATACGAAGGGTAACTTGGATGTTTTCTACAACTTGGTCCCAGTTCTGTTCCCATCGAACAAGGACTGATATTACCCGGACTTGTAAAAACCTTCCTCAGATTAATAAACGTGGCATTCCCCATGAGGCGGCATATTTGTCACTGGCTCCGAATAACGGTTAACAGGTGAAAAAAAGTCACACCGCCTCGAGGAGTGAATTCCGTCCATGTCAAGTTCCATCAGACGCCGATGATTTGTAGTTCGAACGTATGAGATGATCTCCAGTGGGGGGGGTTCTTCTAGAGCGTAATATTCCAAGGGAACTATTGTGTGATTTCCAGAGGAGTGAGGCCTCCTGTTTATGAATTACATCTCCACACTAGATCCTCTTTCTACGTTGAGAGGTAATGTTGTCACTTTGCGATGCAAGCAGTCAACCCTTGTGAAAATTAGCTGCTAGTATCTGAAATGTTCTCAGCCTAAAGTTGAGGTCCAAGGGATTTCACAGAGCTAATCTGAGTCAAGTGGATGGTTTTAGAAGAAAGCATATTGTGAGGACCTGCGCAGCTTGCCTGATTACTATTTTTTCCACATATACATCACGTGAACACTGACAATTAGTCTACAACCAAAAATCCTCTTTAAACTAGCACTAAAATGGAGTTCGGTAAAGCATGCTCATTGCTAGGGGTGCCCTCCGACAGAGAGCCGTTCCTCTGGAGGTTGGACAAAATAGTTCACTGTAATGTGTGATCTTCCCGAAGAGGTGTCGGCCCTTAGGAAATTCCAAGCCCTAGGCTTACCAGTAGTGGCCTTTCTCTGGAAGTAGTACTATTTTCATCAGCAAAAGAAACCACCCTCGTGTCCATTCATTGAGTCATCCTCATATTTCTGTACATCTGAAAATGGCTAGACACCAGCTTTAAGTGAAAGATTAATGATCATACGGATCATTTGTTTTGGCTGAATAAGGAGTGGAGACATCAACCAACAGCAGGCCTTCTTTAACAGAAGTTTTCCATAAACAAAGTGAGCAGATGAGTGCAACTACAAGCCTGCTTTTAGTACTGTCTAAACTGATTTGATGGCACGTAAACTACTTGACTGTTGTCCGGCTAGTACATGCTGACAGCTCCAACCTTCAATCCATTTGGCATCCACAACCACCCTGAAGATCCGACAAAAAACCTTTCCCATGGGTGCGCAATAGACTCAAGTGCTGCGGTTTCGAAGCTGGCATGTTCAAACACGTCCAAACACCTCACAACGCTTCGTCGTTGGACCCTCTTTCCAATCAAGGCTGTGAAATCCAATCAGCCACAGCCAGCAGCACGAAAAAATGTCATTCGTCTGTGCTAGCGCGAGAACGCAGCACGAGATTAGCTAAAAGCGTGTGAATGAACTTATGTATCCAGTTTTGAAGGTCGTTTGTAGAGCAGAGAGGAGAGGACGGCTTATGATGTTTCTTGGCACCGGCTTCTGATGAGATGCCAAGCCGAACTGATCAAACTGGCACGTTGAATAGAGTGTAAAGGTTCTCCTGTTATTTCTCTGTCTAATGGTATTCTCTGTCTAGAATCCATGTCTGTGTGCGGAACGAAGTCTTTCAACAAGGGTCATTGGTAGTTCGTTTTCATGTCTTCAGTGGGTGCTTAAACCTGGTGAGCTCTAGCTCTCCCATCTTGCCTGATTTGTTCCTCCCAACCATAGCTATCAGTTGAGTCTCTCGTGAAAACCAAGTTGATTTGCAAATCAGTGTATTTCTCGAAAACAGTTCAATTTGGGTTCAAGTAGAACATAAGGTTGACGGAAACTCGGGAGCTGCGTTTACCTGGTGAGCCCCAACAAGGGCGAAACCGGTCGTGGGCTGTCGAAAAGTTTTCAGCAACCTTGTGAGTAGTTTCCTTCATGAAAATTAAAGCGTATTTCACTAACTAAAACTTGGAGTTTTCAAAGTAAAAGGCTAATTCTGTTTACTATCATTTACTTCAGCACGCGATTCGGTGTTCCAGCTGGCCCCTTTATCCTTTTTAATGATGTACGTTTTGAGTACGCTTTTCATGGAAGCCCAATAAGCTGTGCACGAGGTATGTCCGTGGAATCCGACCTTCACCCAAATTTAACTCAGTATTATGTAAGTAGTATTCTTGTACCAAGTTTGGCGTTATTAGACACCACCCAGATTGAGAGAATGCTAAAGTGCGAGAACACTTTTTGACGCCTTGTTACCCTGCCAACGGAAGGAGGCACGAGGGATGATATGTTGCCAGGTCACTTAAGCTTAGAAAGGAACGATTGAGACGCTGAGGCAGGTTCGCGCCCTGACCACTGAGTTACCTTGTGCTCTTTGATGAGAAGCAGAAGTAGGGCATCCCCGAAGAGCGGCTTTCAAGAGGAAAGAACACAAGAGTGTTCTGGTCGACCAAGGATGTCCCTAAGTTGGGGACATCCAGTGATGCCCTTTCTTTGGACTGATGTCACTATCCCACCGTGAACTGCTATCCAGAAAGATCATGGCCCAATCGCGTCTATTGTTTCAGGGACAACTCGTAGGTGGTGTCACTTTGTAACAATTCAGAATGGAGAACAAAGAAGCTTTGCAATACCCTAAAGCTTTTAACTGTTGGAAGACGGAGAAGCCCAAAAGAAATCACGGAACGCTTAAATACTCCCGGTTATCAGGGGCGATCTCCCAGCAGTACTGTTCGTTGCTATTGCTACCGCCAGTCTCACTCGAATACGTAAGTGAACGTTGTTCACTTAGCTGATTTATTCATTTTGAAAAGTATAACAACTTAGTTAAACTGCCATCATAACAACATATAAGTACGTTTATGTGATACGCATCTCCATCCAAGTGATTCTTCTGAACACCTCCACGAGAATGGTTTCTTGTTCTTTCGAACATGCTGAAGCCAGTCTGAAAGCAAACTGATCGGTGAACTTACTTACTTACTTTACTTACTTACTTACTTACTTACTTTACTTACTTACTTACTTACTTACTTTACTTACTTACTTACTTACTTACTTTACTTACTTACTTACTTACTTACTTTACTTACTTACTTACTTACTTACTTTACTTACTTACTTACTTACTTACTTTACTTACTTACTTACTTACTTACTTACTTTACTTACTTACTTACTTACTTACTTTACTTACTTACTTACTTACTTACTTTACTTACTTACTTACTTACTTACTTTACTTACTTACTTACTTACTTACTTTACTTACTTACTTACTTACTTACTTTACTTACTTACTTACTTACTTACTTTACTTACTTACTTACTTACTTACTTTACTTACTTACTTACTTACTTACTTTACTTACTTACTTACTTACTTACTTTACTTACTTACTTACTTACTTACTTACTTTATATAAAACAAGAAGTGTGCGTGGATACTCTCCGCGAGATATCTTTCATTCCTTGTCTCCTCGCACGAAGAGACTGGACCTTATCGTGGTGTGACGGTTTGCGCACCTCAGCGATCCATTGAGCTATACTGGAGAGTGTCTCGCGACACTCACAGAGCCTCTCATACCAGGTTGGTCAATGGTTAGAGGTCTGATGAACACAGTCTCCTGGCCCTCCAGGTTGGGGGTTGGAACATGTGGCGACTTGTCCCGTAGAAATGGTAATGCATTTGCATTTCCCGCCAAACACCGCTGCCTTGCGGTTAGGCTTTTGAGCCAAAGGCTTTGGTTGAGGACCCTAATCGTCCTCCTGTCTAGGTGTGGGCGCCCTGGCAGTATCCCAGCCCTCGTACAACCATGCCCTACACAACTAACAATATTTTCATGCCCCATCGGCCGTCGCGTGGTGCCATCAGCCGGGTCGCCTTACTTGCTGCATACAGAAAGCCGGTAATGCCCGGAGATTATTTCAGTTGATCCGTGCGACCGGTCCCCGGAAACCACCTGTGAGT